TAAAGACACGGCCTCATCCGTGCTCAGGCAGCACAGGCTAATTCTGAACTCTTTTCTGCAGCTCTGCGCACCACCAGCCAAGTATCTATCCATCAGATACCACCCGAACTGACAGCGGTCCCGTCTGTGCCCTTGCTACTCGGACCTAGTCAGGCTGAGGAGCTACCAGTTGACCCGGTAGCAAAGGAAGAACCGCTCTTTGTTCACCCCGACCACTTCCGCCGCAACTCAATCTTCATAGGACGCGAGGGAGAACTGGAAAATCTGCATCTGATGCTCATGGATAGCAAGCGTAGATCGGAAGGGACGTCTAGCGTCCTGATACGGTGCCTACCCGGAGGAGGTAAAACTCAGCTCGCTCGGCAGTACGTCTATCAGCACAAAGATGACTATTCCGGGGGTGTATACTGGATAGAGGCATCGTCTCGTCACAATCTGGAGTGCTCGTTTTGGCGCATTGCAAGGGAAGAGGCACTCAAGGGGCTGGTTGATTCGGAGGATGCGGAACAGCTGCGCGACCCCAAACGGATTGTCGATCTTGTCCGGAAGTGGCTGAACAGCCAAACGGACTGGCTGATGGTGCTGGATGGCGTGCAGTCCGATATCACGGGCCTCTACGAGTTCATCCCCGATGCTAAGAATACAAGCCTCATATATACCTCGACCGAACGCGTGATTGGGGATCCCCAGGTTGACAATCCAGAGGTCTTGGAACTTCCCCTGCTCAAGTCACAGCAGGCCGTCGACCTACTCCTCCTCGAGATGGGCAAGAAGCAACCGTGGAGCAAGGAGGACCAGACCATGGCCCTCGAGCTGGTAGAGAGAATGGATCGATTACCCCTCATGATCCACGTTGCAGCGCAACACATGAAAGAAGCCGGGGAGCCTCTATCGAGGTATCTGAAGTCGTACAAGAGTCGACCAAAAGCCGGGGGCCTGCCTGCATATAAGGCGGTACTGGAGCAACTCGAGGATAAGGGAGAAGCTGAGGCTCTTAACTTGATGTCGATTCTGGTGTTCTTCGACAAGCATGTCCCCATCGAGATGGTCACACTCGGTAAGCTGACACAGATGCCTTTCCAATTGCCGAGTGGTACTAACGAAATGCCTACTCCAGGTCTTTCTGCCCTTGATAACGCAACCCCGGTTAAGAAGCGCGACGCTGCGCAAGGGAGGAGAAATCTGAGTACTACTCTGAAGACGCTCATCGCGTTCGCCCTGATAGAACGGACGAATAGCGACGATATGTCGTCTCTCAGCTCGCAGAGCTCCAAGAGGAGCTTTGACAAAAATTCCGACTATCTCGACTTACTCCGCATTCACAGTGTCATCCAGGCCTTCTTCATCGAGACGCTAAATGAAGCACGCAACGTGCACTTTTGGTTGGATCGAGCGACGGCCATATGGTGCAAGTCATACGACGAGGCACATCGACGAACAAGGGAAAACCCCAACGTGGGATTGCCCGAGGACTACCGTCGATATCTCATCCACGGGCAGAAGTTGTTGCTGAACTGGAGCCGCTTTGAGAAGAAAAAGCCGCAGCCGGCTCAAACTGGCGCTAGCCACTTGCTCACTGATGCTCGGGATAGAGTAGAAAGCCGCCTAGATAATATCCTCACTGCGATCGACCAGCTCTCACGTGTCCTACAAGAGAGTATCAACAACGGATCTGGCGACGTGTCCTTGGTGTCTGTTTTCGACCATCGGTCTGCCTCGACTAGCGAATCGGAGGTCGACTCGTCCGCAGTGCCGAGCAGCCAGGACAGCACGGCGGACTGGGAGCCCTTCATTAAGGGCGAGAACGCTGTCAATAACCCTGATCAGGCAGCGTCTTCCTGGGCCCCGTGGCGGAATCTGCCTTTCCCTAGCGGGCTCGCGATACTGCCAGCACCGGACACCAACAACGAGGACGGGCACACTGCCATGCCCTCGCCGTCCTTCACTGAGGTGCATGGTAATGGAGAGGAGACGAGCAGGCCGATCAGCGCTGTGGTGTCCCAGGATCAACTTAGCGATCTAGGGCGAGCATACGACGACTGGCAGGAAGTAATTCCGCATCACCGAACAGTCAAGAAATATGAGGCAAGGCGCTATCGTGACCGTGCAGGCGCGTGGAGAGACACGAGCGTCAGCGATCCCCGTGTGGGGCTCAGTCGGCACGTAATCCCAAAACCCGTCTTTGCCGGCGGAAGCGTAGCTTCTGCCGCGTTGAACAAGATCAAGGACAAAGAACCGCCGTTGCCACTGGACTTGACAGAATATGGGAACTTCGTCGCTGAAAATTTCAGCCAGCAGTCCCTCATCCCTGTTGGAATCAGCAGTTACGCTCCGCCGCTTGTTAAGAAGACACCGGCACACGAAATTGAGATATCGCCGCCCAAGTTCGAGTTCTCGGAGGCTTTTGGGAAATGGAGTTTGGCGACCCTGAAGAAGCTTAAGGAGGGTTTCAAGGACAGTCTGAAGCCGACTCCCCGAAATGGGCTGAGCGCAGGTCCGTCTGCTATCGCAATCCCACGACATAAGGATCAAAATATGAGTCCAGCATCCCCCGGCTCTATTTTCCTCGGCAGCCGTACAGCAGGCTCGAGTCCAGCTATCCGGTCCTCGCCTTTTGCCCCCCCTCCGCCACATCCGGGCGCGGGAACAGTCGATGATAACGCCTTGTTCATTCAGTCGGGAGACCGCAGGGGCATGCCTCCGGTGATCAGGCATTGGGACACAAATGTGCCGAGCTACTATCAACCTCGTCCAGCATTTAAGCGGGGGGGTGCATCGGATATGTCAGCCGACCATCCGCTTTCGCTGTCATATCCATCCCTGGCCCCACGAAACTCTGGTGCATACGGGATGAGACAAGGACCGCGACAACAACAGATGCCGACGGGCTACTCTTCGCAGCCAATGACACGCGATGCCTCACGTGAGAGCAATATTATCGACATCGACAATCAACAGCCTGTTATCCCAGGACGATATCCCGCACCGGCCGAATGGGCTGAGCTGCTTTCGGATACGCACCGCCCGTCGTCTCCTCTCGAGGGAATGACCCTCGCTCTGGTGGACAAATCGACAGGCGGCATGCATCCTCTGCCTCTGCCTATCACACTCAGCAATAACAATTGGTATCATGGTTACCGACGACCGTCGTACACCGAGACAGAGCCTTCGCCGCGTCTTGGCTCCGCCTTTCCGGACACTGACACGAGCTATCGACGCTGGGAAGAACTCCGCAATATTAACAAACCTCCTGGTCTCAGCTCTAGTCTCGGTCCTGGCCTTGGTGGCGCCGCTACAGGAGGGCCACGAAGCAGCACAAGCGGTAATAATAGTAGGCCCGGTTCTATTAGTCCTGGTATGGTTGTTCCTATAGCTGCAGGTGCCGCCGGGTCAGGAGCAGGAGCAGGAGCGGGAGCAGGAGCAGGGCCATCACGTCTACGCCCGGGTAATAGTAGTAGTCGCGGCAAGTCGAGAGGAGGACATGCGGGCAGGTCACAGTCCGTCTCACTGTTGTCGTCGAGAAGAATAACGGGCCAAGCAGCCGGAGGATCTGGTGGCTCTGTCGTGCCTACTCCTCCTCCTCCTCCTTCTCTCAACCCGCGCCGCAGTTCGGTGGTGGAACTTCACGCCGCCCGTGGTCTCGGTGGCGTGTCAATGGCGAGAGCAAGGTCTGACGGGGCCAGTAGCATTGTTACCGGTGGTGGCGGTGGTGAGCAGATGCCGAGGTCATTGTCTGACGGTGTCAACAGCATTGCAGTGGTGGGGGGCGAGGCAATGTTGAGGTCGAGGTCCGATGGTAATAGCGCGGGAGGAGGGGGAATTCCCGGGATAAGGTTAAGCGACGGGCGCATCATTGGGTTTAGCTTCACGCCTCCTGACACGCCGGGAACGCCGGGAAGTACGGGAGAGCGAAGCAGAGGTGCTGCTGGCGCTGGTTCGAGCTCTTCCCCGCCAAGGTCCGGCTTTAGATTCGGCAGGTTTCAAGGTGCTGACGAGCATATGCGTCACGGTTAATAAGACTTGAAAGAATTGCCAACAAATACATGAGATTCAGGTTAAAGACGCTCTTAATTCGGAATGTATGGTAAAAGGGGGGGGGGGGGGGTGTGTGCTGTTTTCTGGGCAGCATATTCAGGATATATATTACACGCATAGACAAAACAAACAACAAGGAGGTACTTTGTGATTTGAGGGAGGAACAGAGAATTACTCGACATTCGTTTTTTTTTACAACGACATATTATAAGATAGCTTTACTTTGGATTTACTTGGATAGATGTACCTACACTCTTAATAATTTGAATTGTACATACCTGAGTTTTTTTTTTTTTTTTTTGCGAATATCAGTTCTACAAAATCCCGCCTTCTTCTTTCGTCATCTTCGTTTTGTAAAGCCAGATACTATAACAGGTGAAGACAGACCTGTATGGGACACTGTGTGGTATTTATTAATTCATGCTGTTTCACTGGGTTGTTATTATTATAAGCCCCCCCCCCCCCCCCCCCCCCCCCCGCGGGGGGCGGGGTGCCGGGGGGGGGGGGGGGGGGGGGGGGGGCAAATAAAACACACAGCAGGGTTTTGGGGACTGAGATTGTTGGTTGG